AAACAGGGTGCAATAAGACTACCAACCTCGCAGGAGATCATGTGTCTAAAGCCATGAAAACAGCGTCTGAATAAGGAAAATGTGGTATATCCATGCAACAGAAATATGACTCAGCCATGAAAAACAATGAGGCTCTAACACAGGCTACAGCAAGAACCTTGAGGACGTCAGGCTCAGGTGAGAGAAGCCAGACACAAAAGGCTACACAATGTGTGATCCCATTTCTATAACATGTCCGGAACAGGCCAATCCAGAGAGACAGAAATCAGATAAATAATTGCCAGGGGCTGGAGTGTGGGAAGAAGAATGAGGAGTAACTGCTTTTTTTTTTTTTTTGAAGCGGAGTCTCGCTGTTGCTCAGGCCGGGGTGCAGGGGCACAATCTTGGCTCACTGTAACTTCTGCCTTCCTGGTTCAAGCAATCCTCCCACCGCAGCCTCTCAAGTAGCTGGGATTACAGGTGTGTGCCACCATGCTTGGCTAATTTTTGTGTATATATATATATATATATATATATATTTTTTTTTTTTTTTTTTTGAGACGGAGTCTCGCTCTGTCGCCCAGGCTGGAGTGCAGTGGCGCCGTCTCAGCTCACTGCAAGCTCCATCTCCTGGGTTTACGCCATTCTTCTGCCTCAGTCTCCACAGCAGCTGGGACCACAGGCGCCTGCCACCATGCCCGGCTAATTTTTTATATTTTTAGTAGAGACAAGGTTTCATCGGCCTCCCAAAGTGCTAGGATAACGGGCATCAGCCACCGCACCCGGCCTTTATTTTTGTATTTTTAATAGATCCAGGTTTCACTATGTTGGCCAGGCTGGTCTCAAACTCCCAACCTCAGGTGATCCACCCGCCTTGGCCTCCCAAAGTGCTGGGATTACAGGCATGAGCCACCATACCCAGCCTCCTCTTTCTTTTTTAAGAGAGGGTTGTGAGCAACATAGTAAGACTCAAACTGGTCTCAAACTCCTGGCCTCAAGCCATCTTCCCACCTCAGGCTCCTGGGCAACTGGGATGACAGGACATGAGACATTGCACCTGGCTAACCTGTGAAATCTGACACTTAACTCTGGGTGATTACAATCATAATTTAATTGCTCTATGGCCGGAGTAGAAGGGGATCTCTCTCACTTTTTTTTTTTTTCGAGACGGAGTCTTGCTCTATCGCCCAGGCTGGAGTACAGTGGTGCGATCTCAGCTCAGTGCAACCTCTGCCTCCTGGGTTCAAGCAATTCTCCCGCCTCAGCCTCCCGAGTAGCTGGGACTACAGGCTCACACCACCACAGCCAGCTAATTTTTTTTTTTTTTTTTTTTTTTTTTGCATTTTTAGTAGAGATGGGGTTTCACCGTGTTAGCCAGGATGGTCTCAATCTCTTGACCTAGTGATCTGCCTGCCTCGGCCTCCCAAAGTGTGCTGGGATTATAGGCATTAGCCAACACACCTGGCTTTTTATTTATTTTTTTTTTTGAGTTGGGGTCTCACTCTGTCACCCAGGCTGGAGTGCAGTGGTGCAATCTTGGCTCACTGCAACCTCTGCCTCCCAAGCTCAGGCGATCCTCTCACCTCAGCCTCCTTAGAAGCTGGGACTACAGGCTTGTGACACCATGTTTGACAATTTTTGTTTTGTTTTGTTTTGTTTTTGTATGTTTGGTAAAGACAGGGTTTCACCATGTTGGCCAGGTTGGTCCTGACTCCTGAGCTCAAGCAATCCACCTGCCTTGGCCTTCCAAAGTGCTGGGATTACAGGCATGAGCCATCGTGCCCAGCCTCTCTCTCACATATTTTTATTTATTTATTTATTTTGAGACAAGAATCTTGCTCTGTCGCCCAGGCTGGAGTGCCATGGTGCGATCTCGGCTCACTGCAAGCTCCACCTCCCGGGTTCACGCCATTCTCCTGCCTCAGCCTCTAGAGTAGCTGGGACTACAGACGCCCGCTACCACGCCCGGCTATTTTTTGTATTTTTAGTAGAGACGGGGTTTCATCGTGTTAGCCAGGATGGTCTTGATCTCCTGACATCGTGATCTGCCTGCCTCGGCCTCCCAAAGTGCTGGGATTACAGGCGTGAGCCACTGCACGCGGCCTCTCATATTTTTTTTAAGAGAGTCTTGCTCTGTTGCTCAGGTTGGAGTGTAGGGGAGCGATCATAGCTCAGTGTAGCTTCTGACTCCTGTGCTCAAGCAATTCTCTTCCTAAGTGGCTGTGACTACAATGTGCACCACTGCACCCAGCTGCCACTTTTTTTTCCAACAAGACAACGGCACGAAATGAAGTATAATGTGTTCTTCCGTCAAGTTAACCAGCCATAACAGCAAAGCCCAGGAGGTCAGGGATGGAAACTCATTCACCTTTTTTAGTTTCTAAAGCCATTGGGTAGGCAGCTGCAAGTTGGGTCCTTGGGGGTGGCTGGGAGAAGGTGGTAAGTTGGTGAGGCCTCCATGGGTGATGGATCATCTTCTTTTTTTTTTTTTTTTTTTTTTGAGACTGAGTCTCGCTCTGTCGCCCAGGCTGGAGTGCAGTGGCTGGATCTCAGCTCACTGCAAGCTCTGCCTCCCGGGTTCACGCCATTCTCCTGCCTCAGCCTCCCGAGTAGCTGGGACTACAGGCGCCCGCCACCTCGCCTGGCTAGTTTTTTTGTATTTTTTTAGTAGAGACGGGGTTTCACCGTTTTAGCCAGGATGGTCTCGATCTTCTGACCTCGTGATCCGCCCGTCTCGGCCTCCCAAAGTGCTGGGATTACAGGCGTGAGCCACCGCGCCCGGCCAATGGCTCATCTTTACAGGGGTGTGTGGCCTCCAGGATTCTGTGTCTGATGAAGGTGATGGGTTCAGGCACAAGCATTTATACCCAAAGTGAATACTGGATGCCAGCACTGAGCTAGGCATGTGTGTGAGGAGGAGGAGGGTACGAAGATGAAACTGCCAGGAAAAACTGAGGGCTCCCAGGGGTCTTTTGGGGGAAATAAAAGGTGAGTGTGGCTTTAATAAGAATCAATAAGGGCCGACCGGGTGCGGTGGCTCACGTCTATAATCCCAGCACTTTGGGAGGCCGAGGTGAGCAGATCACCTGAGGTCAGGAGTTCATGAGCAGCCTGACCAACATAGAGAAACCCTGTCTCTACTAAAAATACAAAATTAACCGGGCGTGGTGGTGCATACCTTTAATCCCAGCTACTCGGGAGGCTGGGGCAGGAGAATCACTTGAACCCGGGAGGTGGAGGTTGTGGTGAGCTGAGATCATGCCATTGCACTCCAGCCTGGGCTACCAAGAGCAAAACTCTGTCAGAAAGAAAGAGAGAGAGAGAGAGAGAGAGAGAGAGAGAGAGAGAGAGAGAGAGAGAGAAGGAAGGAAGGAAGGAAGGAAGGAAGGAAGGAAGGAAGGAAGGAAAGAGAGAGGAGAGAGAGAGAGAAGGTTGGGGTTGGAAGGTTAAGGCGACATACAAGGAAGGGGTTGATGGCAAGAAGAAGAAGATATGGGCTAGTGGTAGTGGGTTTGCGTTTGTAATTCAGGGAAGGAAGGAAGGAAGGAAGGAAGGAAGGAAGGAAGGAAGGAAGGAAGAAGGATAAGGGCCAGGCACAGTGGCTCATGCCTGTAATCCCAGCACTTTGGGAAGCCGAGGTGGGCGGATCACTTGAGGTTAGGAGTTCAAGACCAACTGTGCCAAAACGGCAGGACCCCCACCTCTACTAAAAATACAAAAATTAGCTGGGTGTGGTGGTGCATGCCTATAATCCCAGCTGCTCGAGAGGCTGAGCCAAGAGAATCGCTTGAAACCAGGAGGCAGAGGTTGCAGTGAACCGAGATGGTGCCACTGCACTCCAGCCTCGGCAACAGAGGGAGACTCTGAAAAAAAATTAGGCCGGTGCGGTGACTCATGCCTGTAATCCCAGCACTTTGGGAGGCTGAGGCGGGTGGATCACTTGAGGTCAGGAGTTCAAGACCAGCCTGGCCAACATGCTGAAACTCCATCTCTACTAAAAATATAAAATAAAAAATAAAAAATATAAAAATTAGCTGGGTGTGGTGGCCCACGTCTGTGGTCCTGTGCAAGTGATCCACCCGCCTTGGCCTCCCAAAGTGGTCACCACTCCCGACCAGATATTTGAATGTTATTCTGCAGTCAGTAGGGCTCTTGGAAGTGTGACAGGCAGGAGTGGAACTTGGTCAGATGTGTGTTCTGGAAAGTCCTCTCGCTGAATGTAGAGAATGAACAGGCTGCATGTGTGTGTATGCTGGGAGGGGAGACAGTGAGGAGATGGGGACGTGCAGGGAGGTGGAGGTCATGGAGGCAGAGGGCTGGAGGAGAGAGGATGGATTTGAGCACAGTGACTCATCTTGGGGACCACGGGGAGTGGATGAGGAAGGGAGGGTCTTGGGCATGTAGGAGGATTTTGTCATATTCATGGGCATATTGGGGGAGGAAGCTGGGGGCTGAGAAGATTGAGTGTTCAGTTTGAAATGATTAATTTGTGGTGATTGGGAAACACCCATAGTAGAATGCCCTCCTCCACTGAGGACCCCAAAAGGCAATATCTGTGTGCCTTTTCCTTTCTGAAAGACCTTGCATTCCCAGGGGGCAATTCTAAATAGACCAGGAAAACTCCCACAATTAGACCTAACCCAGACATTGAACCTCCCTCTGCTCAGCCCATTCATAAAGTGCCTCTGGCATTTAGGTGTCTTCTAATCTCATTTTCTCTGCTTGTTAATAGACCCACTGAGGCAGTACTCCTGGGAGAGAGAGAAAGATTTCATTTGTCTGGGGCTGAGGAAGGAGACAAGGGTTGCCAGAGCGAATAAGGAATCAATGCCTTGTAATTGCTAATTAAATGAGCCTGGCTCTCTCTCTTGGGGCTATGAGTTGGCTGGCCGGCCCTTAAGTGTCCACAAATTCAATTATGCTTCCCCAATAAACACCTGCAGCAACCATCGCTCTCCGGTATCTCTCTGGGGGAGACCTAGAAGAAGGATCTTCCTGGGTTTGCTGAGGCCATTCATTCATTTATTGATGGATGTATTGGTTTATTCTTTGATGCCTTTATTGATTCAACACATGCTTATTGTACGCCTGCTGTGTGCCGGGCCCTGGACCAGGCACTGGGGACACAGCAGTGAAAATACAAACATTGTTTCTGTCCTCACGGAGCTCACGGTGTAACAGGGAGACAAATAGACCTGTCAGTAGATAACATGAAAATAACTGGACTATGTGCTGCAGACACAATATCCTAGGTCTATGAGAATGTCAACACAGACTTCACGTGGGCAGTGGTGAGGCAATAAGGATCATTTCCCTTAATGAAACGGAGCTTGCAGAAGAAGGCAGGGTCAGTTGTGGGGAGCTCTGGGTGGAGGTGGGGAGAGTACATTCCAAGCTGCAGGAACAGCAAAGGCAAAAGCCCTGAGGCTGGAGAATAGGTACCATGTGGAGTTTGTCACTCGATTAGGGTGTTGCAGAGAATTGGGGGTGAGTCTTTTTTATTTATTTATTATTTATTTGTTATTGAGATGAGGTCTTGCTATGTTGCCCAGGCTGGTCTCGAACTCCTGAGCTCAAGCTATTCTCCCACCTTGGCCTCCCAAAGTGCTGGGATTACAAGTGTGAGCCATCACACCCTGGCAAAAGAGGTGAGCCTTTATGATGTCATAAGTCACCACCGGGCACAAGTTCACACTTGTCCTATGATTGGCCCATGACACTGATGGGTAGCAGACAGGAAAATAATCTTTTCTGAAACTTTGTTATTATTTTTTTTGATAGAGAGTGTGGTTCTGTTGCCCAGTCTGGAGTGCAGCGGTGCAGTCACGGCTCACTGCAGCCTTGACCTCCCAGGCTCAAGTGTTCCTCCCACCTCCCAAGTAGCTGGGACTACAGGTGTGTGTCACCTCACCCAGCCAATTAAAAACAAAACAAAAACAAAACAAAACAAAAAAAACAAAACATTTTTTGTAGAGACGGGGTCTCAATATATTGCCAAGGCTGGTCTCAAACTCCTGTGCTCAAACAATCCTCCCATCTCATCCTCCCAGAATGTTAGGATTACAGGTGTGAGCTCCCCCACCCAGCCCGCTTCTGGAACTTTTATTGAAAAGTACCCTTAGGCTGGGTTCGGTGGCTCACACCTGTAATCCTGGCGCTTTGAGAGGCTGAGGCAGGAGACCATGTCTTCACAAAAGAAAAAAAAAAAAAAAGTTTTTTGAGACAGAATCTCTCTCTGTTGCCCAGGCTGGAGTGTAGTGGTGCAAACTTGGTCATGCAGCCTCTGCCTCCTGAGTTCAAGGGATTCTTATGCCTCAGCCTCCCGAGTAGCTGGGACTACAGGCGTGATCCACAACGCTCAATTTTTATATTTTTAGGAGAAATGGAGTTTCACCATGTTGTCCAGGCTGGTCTTGAATTCCTGGCCTCAAGTGGTTCACCTGCCTCAGCCTCCCAAAGTGCTGGGATTACAGGCATGAGCCACCACGACCAGCCAAAACAAAATTTTTTTTTAATAGAAAAGTACCCTGAGAACCCTGGTCTATGGAGGGCTTTAAATGCCATTCCCTCATTGAGTCCCCCAGGAAAGCGCCATGAGGTGGTTAGAGGTCTTGGGTTTAGAGTCAGGTATTTTCTATCTCCAGGCTTGTGGGGGCGTTCGAGTGATGTGACCAACTCCATACATGGTGCATGGCTGTATGAGCACAGGATGTATGTCCTTGTTTGCTTCCCTCCCTTGCCTGTGTCTGTATCCCCTGGAGTGAGCCAGCCCCCACTCCAAGTGGAAGCGATTCCTCCCCGACCTCCCCGGTTCTCCCCCACGGGCCAGCCCATTTAAGGCGAAGGTCGAAGGGAGTCTGCGCTATGAGGCCGGCTGTGACTTGTTGTCGTAGCACATCAGAACAACAAAATCACTAGTCTTCCACACAGCACTAGACCAGAGCCACTCTAATCTTCTTCACCACCCCCTTCCCCATGTCTGACATCCCTGCCCAGCTCCTCCTTCTCACCTGAGCCAAGCTGTGACACCTGGGCTTCCTGCCTCTGTGCTGCCTCCCTGTTTTCCATTCCCGGTTCTCCTGGAGAGAGGCAGGGTCTGATCTCCAAGGGCCCAACTCCCACCCAGGCACGTCAGAGATGTGGGATTTAGAGTTGGACGGATGGGGTTGACTTACAGCTTCACTTGTGGGCTGAGAGTCCCTGCGTGGGTTATTTTTCTGCCTTTTTCAGGGCCTTGGGTTCCCCAAGTGTCACGTGGGCACAGTAACAGCCATATCCTAGGGTTGAAGATGGCATGATATGCTGTATGTACAATGCTTGGCACAAGATTCCTCACTGAAGTCTGGAAGGGACACCATAATGTCATCTTAGCAGGCACCTGTTACCCCAGTGAGGCATCTTACCAGTTGAAAATTCTGGACTTGAGTCAGGTGCGGTGACTCACTTCTATAATCCCAACACTTTGGGAGGCTGAGGCGGGCAGATCACGAGGTCAAGAGTTTGAGATCAGCCTGGCCAATATGGTGAAACCCCGTCTCTACTAAGAATACAAAAATTAGCCAGGAGTGGTGGCGGTACCTGTAATCCCAGATACTCAGGAGTGCGAGGCAGGAGAATTCCTTGAACCCGGGAGGCAGAGGTTGCAGTGAGCCGAGATCGTGCCACTGCATTCCAGCCTGGGCGACAGAGCAAGACTCCGTCTCGAAAAAAAAAAAAAAAAAAAAAAAAAGAAAATTGCAGACTTCTGTGTGTGCTTATCTGGAAAGTACTTTGTTTAGAGATCCATTACGTGAGGGGCACGTCTCCAGAAATGCCAGGCACCTCACACCACCCTCTCTCGTCCTCCTCCTGCAAAATCAGGGTCAAAGGGCTCTCCCGTTACCTGGGGGAGCTGTCCAGGATTCTGGCGCCGAAACGGAGCCCGCTGGGAACTGTCCTGAGCCCCGGTGCTGAAACAGATCGCGGTTCTCTCCTTGGAACCCCCGAGAGGCGCTGTCCGGATACGTGGTGCTGAAATAAATAGCATTCTCCTCCTTCGGTCGGGGGAGAGCTGTCCCTCGTGCTGAAGAAAACTTGATTTTCCTCTCTCTCTTTCCCGGTTCCCCCACCCCTCTTCGTTCTCGGTTCCTCCGATTCTTGGGAAACCCCACCCCCATTCAATTTATTTCCCCTCCTAGCTTCTTCCTGGGGCGCTTCAGAATGGCATTGGGAGGGGGAGACACGGAGAGGTCGCAACTAACACTGATACCTGCTCCTCACCCTGTACCACGTCCCCAGAACTTACCTCCCAAGCAGTCAGCCCCACTGATCCTGCTTTCCAGACCGTCAAACTTCGCCGTCTCTGTCCGTTCCTGGGAAAATGTCCATGCGCCGACCTGCAAACCAGTCTAATTCCCGGCATCCCATGTCCCTCAGACCACCCCTCCTCCCACGCAGCTGCGGGCTTCCCCCTCTGTGTGCCTCACCTGCTTCCAGTCTTGTTGGCAGATTCAGGTGTCCCGTGGCTGCCGAGGCGGGGACCTGCGCTTTTATAGGCTTCTGGGAAGGCGGAGCGCCAGGAATCCTGGGAGGGGCTTCCCACAACTGGCCAATGGGATTCCACCTCAGAATGAAGCTCCAAAGATTACCTCATAGGTTGTGGCCCACGCTTCAGAATAAAAGTCTGGCATCTGCCCAAAAACTGGGCTAGGGGATTTTTTTTTTTTTTTTTTTTTTTTTTTTTGGATGGGGAAGGAGCATTCATTGTGGACCACGGAGTCTCCGCACTCTCTCCAATCCCCTCCTGGGTTCCTGAGCTCCAAGTTGGTTCAGGTGTCCTGGCTGGTACCTGTTTCTTCGCATTCCCAATTTTTGCGATTGCTCCTGGTTCAGGAAAGAAAAAGCTGGTAAACTGTTTTGGGAAAAATAAGGGATGTTGAGAATATTAAAGTCCAGTTCCACCTAGGGCAACTGACGTCTGTGAAAATGGAGGACTCAGAAGACTCTGGGGCAGAGATGGGACTTAAGCCTGAAGCTTTTGATTCCTTGACTCAAAACCCAACTTACAAAATTCAGCTTATTGTAGTGCTATACTGGGCAGGCTCTGAACCAAAAAACGAAGAAGCTGGGGTTCAAATTCAGATTTTTCTTCTCTTTCATTTGGGACATTGGGCACAGTTGTGCCTCACTTTTTGCAACTGTAAAGTGGTAATAGTAGAGTGTTTGATGAGGAATTAATGATATGGTGTGGATTGCATGTTGGAAACAATCAGGGCAGGCGCTAATGACTTGAGTGAGGCACTGGCCTCAGGTGCAAAATTTAAAGGAACACCAAAAAACTCAATAATCAAGATAAATAGTATTTCAGACCAGGTGCAACGGCTCATGCCATTGAGCACTTCGGGAGGCCAAGGTGGGAGGATCACTTGAGGAGTTCAAGATGAGCCTGGGCAACACAGTGAGACCCCGTTTCTGAGAGAGAGGGGGAGGAGAGAGAGAGGGGGGTCAGAGGGGGGGGAGAGAGAGAGAGAGAGAGAGAGAGAGAGAGAGAGAGAGAGAATGGCACCTGTGGTTCCAGCTACTTGGGAGGCTGAGGTGAGAGGATCACTTGAGGCCAGGAGGTCGAGGCTGCAGTGAGCTATGATTGCACCACTGCACTCCAGCCTAGGTGACAGAGCAAGACTCTGTCTCAAAAAAACAAAAAAATCAGTGCTATGTTTTCAGAAATCAAAATGTATGCCAAAATCCACAATGAACAAAATATCAAAAATGTCAATAAAGGCAGAACCAGCCTTTCTGACTTTTCCTTTTGCCTAAGGTCCCAACATGGCTTGGCATGGCACTAGCAATCGTGTCTGTTTATGGTAAGTTTTGTAATGACACAACTGTTATTCTTTCCTGATCTATTCCACCCATGTATTTGCTCAACAAACTTTTGTTGTACTAGGCACTGGAGATACATACATGAATTCAGCAAACAACCTTGTCTTAACGGAGGGTAAAGATACGAAAACTCTGCTCACATGCTGGTATGGGTATTGGGCTGAAGGAACAGTTAGTGTAAAGGCCCTGCTGGGGGTGGGGGAAAGAACAGGCCCTGGAGGGTGAGCAAGCGTAGAGGGGACAGTTAGGATATAAATCTGGGGACAGCTGGACAGGACCTGATCATTCAGGCCAGGACCAAAGTGAAGTTCCTTAGGTTGCACAGGAAAACCTGCCACCCTCTCTCTCCCCCCATCCCTAAGCTTTTACTCTGTGCCAGGGTCAGTGCCAAACATTTCACCTGATGTGTGTTCTGAAGACCTCAGGGCAGCCCGATAAGATAGATCCTGGCCAGGCACGTTGGCTCACCCCTGTAATTCCAGCACTTTGGGAGGCCGAAGCAGGTGGATGACCTGAGGTCAGGAGTTTGAGACCAGCCTGGCCAAATGGTGAAACCCTGTCTCTATTAAAAATATTGGCCGGGCACAGTGGCTCAAGCCTGTAATCCCAGCACTTTGGGAGGCCGAGACGGGCGGATCACGAGGTCAGGAGATCGAGACCATCCTGGCTAACACGGTGAAAACCTATCTCTACTTAAAAAAAAAAAATACAAAAAACTAGCCGGGCGAGGTGGCGGGCACCTGTAGTCCCAGCTACTCGGGAGGCTGAGGCAGGAGAATGGCATAAATCCAGGAGGCAGAGCTTGCAGTGAGCTGAGATCCGGCCACTGCACTCCAGCCTAGGCGACAGAGCAAGACTCCGTTTCAAAAAAAAAAAAATATATATATATATATACGTATGTATATAAATCAGCTGAGTGCGGTGGTGGGCGCCTGTGGTCCTAGCTACTATGGAGGCTGAGGCAGGAGAATCGCTTGAACCCGGGAGGCAGAGGTTACAGTAAGCCGAGATCGTGCCACTGCACTCTAGCCTGGGTGACAGAGTGAGATCTTGTATAAAAATTAATTAATTAATTAATTTTTTAAAAAGGGCCAGAAATGGTGGCTCCTGCCTATAATTCCAGCACTTTGGGAGGTAGAGGCGGGTGGATCACCTGAAGTTGGGAGTTTGAGACCAGTGTGACCAACATGGAGAAACCCCGACTACTAAAAATACAAAATCAGCTGGCGTGGTGGCACATGCCTCTAATCCCAGCTATTTGGGAAGCTGAGGCAGGATAATTGCCTGAACCCCAGAGGCGGGGGTTGCGGTGAGCCAAGGTTGTGCCACTATACTCCAGCCTAGGCAACAAGAGCAAAACTCTGTAAAAAAAAAAAAAAAAAAAAGAAGAAGAAGAAGAGGAAGAGGAGGAGGAAGAAGAAGAAGAAGAAGGAGAGGAAGGAGAGGAAGGAAGGAAGGAAGAGAAGAGGGAAGAGGGAGGAGGAAGAAGAAGAAGAAGAAGGAGAGGAAGGAGAGGAAGGAAGGAAGGAAAGAAAGGAAGGAAGGAAGGAAGGAAGGAAGGAAGGAAGGAAGGAGGAAGGGAAGGTGTTGGTAAAGTAGAAGGAAGAGGGCCAGGAGCAGTGGCTCAAGCCTCTAATCCCAGCACTTTGGGAGGCCGAGACGGGCAGATCACGAGGTCAGGAGATCAAGACCATGCTGAAGGGAACATGGTGAAACCCCGTCTCTACTAAAAATACAAAAAAATTAGCTGGGTGTGGTGGCGGGCGCCTGTAGTCCCAGCTACAGGGAGGCTGAGGCAGGAGAATGGCGTGAACCCGGGAAGCGGAGCTTGCAGTGAGGGGAGATCATGCCACTGCACTCCAGCCTGGGCGACAGAGCAAGACTCTGTCTCCAAAAAAAAAAAAAAAAAAAAAAAGAAAGAAAAGAAAAAGGCCGGGCACGGTGGCTCAAGCCTGTAATCCCAGCACTTTGGGAGGTCAGACGGTGGATCATGAGGTCAGGAGATCGAGACCATCCTGGCTAACACGGTGAAACCTCGTCTCTACTAAAAAAAAAAATACAAAAAACTAGCCGGGCGAGGTGGTGGGCGCCTGTAGTCCCAGCTACTCGGGAGGCTGAGGCAGGAGGATGGCGGGAACCCGGGAGGCGGAGCTTGCAGTGAGCTGAGATCCGGCCACTGCACTCCAGTCTGGGTGATGAGCGAGACTTGTCTCAAAAAAAAAAAAAAAAAAAAGAAAAGAAAAAAAAGAAGGAAGGAAAGAAAGAAGGAAAGAAAGAAAGTCAGTTCTTTTTAGCAGGGTGCCGGTAATCCCAGCACTTTCGGAGGCCCAGGCAAGTGGATGACCTGAGGTCAGGAGTTTGAGACCAGACTGGGCAACATGTTGAAACCCCATCTCTACTAAAAATACAAAAATTAGTTGGGCATGGTGGTGCATGCCTGTAGTCCCAGCTACTCAGGAGGCTGAGGCAGGAGAATCACTTGAACTCCAGGAGTTGAGGTTGCAATGAGCCGAGATTGTGCCATTGCACTTCCAGCCTGGGCGATAAGAACAAAACTCCATCTCAAAATACACACTGAGTGAGAGAGAGAGAGAGAGAGAGAGAGAGAGAGAGAGAGAGGAAGGCAGGCTTTTGCTGGGTGGTGGCTCATGCCTGTAATCCCAGCACTTTGGGAGGCTGAGGTGGGCAAATCAGCGTTGTCAGGATATCAAGACAGCTGGCTAACATGGTGAAACCCCGTCTCTACTAAAATACAAAAAATTAGCTGGATGTGGTGGCAGATGCTTGTAATCCCAGCTACTTGGGAGGCTGAGGCAGGAGAATGGCTGAACCTGGAAGAAGGAGGCTGCAGTGAGCGAGATCGTGCCATTGCATTCCAGCCTGGGCCAGAGCGAGACTTCATCTCAAAAAATTAAAAAATAAAAAGAAAGAAAGACTTCTTTTTTTTTTTTTTTTTTTTTTTTTGAGACAAGGTCTCACTCTGTGACCCAGGCTGGAGTGCAGTAGTGCAATCATGGTTCACTGCAGTCTCTGCCTCCTGGCTCAGGCAATCCTCCTACTTCAGCTTCCTGAATAGCTGGGGCTACAGGTGTGTACCACCATGCCCAGCTAATTTTAAAAGTTATTTGTAGAGATAGGGTTGCCCTATGTTGCCCAGGTTGGTCTTGAACTCCTGGGTTCTGTGATCCTCCCACCTCGGCCTCCCAAAGTGCTGAAATTCCAGGCATGAGCTATCATGCCTGGCTGATATGCACGTTTTATAGATGGCTAGAGAGGGGAAGGGGCTTGCGGAAGGACCACAGGGAGAGGGTGTGGGAGTTGGGATGGGGACCCCCGTCTGTTAACCCCAAGGTTTAATCTCTTATCAATTGTTCATTCCATTTCCTGTGCCCTTCCAGAAGCACACGCATATATAAGTGTGTACATTCTCTGCCCACATGTACATTTGCTACTTTTTATTTTTATTTTTTATCTTACTATTTTGTTTTATTTTATTTTATTTTATTTTTGAGTTGGAATCTCACTCTGTCACCCACGCTGGAGTGCAGTGGCACGATCTCAACTCACTGCAACCTCTGTCTTCCGGTTTCAAGTGATT